ATGGATGGATGTTATATATGTATTCTTCCACCTATTCAGTATGTAGTTGACTGTGGTGTTTGACTCATTTTTTGGATGTTAAAACTGAAGGTCCAAGCATCCAGATTATGTTTGAATATCGTGTAATTTTTATGTTCGAAGAGTTTTTTTTAAAACCAAACGTTGCTCCTTCAATGAACTCACTGCTGGTGCTGTGATGTGTCACTTACAGTTTCAAAAGTTTTTGGATTTAGTAATATTTACAGACACTCAGGAACATGCAAATTCTCTCTCAAACACGGAGCGCTCTCCCCTCGGTCAGGCCAAGTTTCAGGGTAACTCGCTGGTCACTTCAAATCTTCCATTTTAGCTTCATTCAGTTGTACAACTTCTGCTGCACACTGGATTTACGGACTCAGAGAGGCTCAGCTCCGTGCACGCTGAACCACAACTCTGCAGCCGGCAAGCAAAAAAAAAAAAAAGAGTAAGGACAACTCAAAGAGATATATAGGAAAACTTGGAGGCTTAAGAGGTCCCCGACCTTAAGTCTGCTGTTGTTTGGCAGAGCAGAAGGAAGAGGTTCATGAGCTGGTCAAGTAAGAAATTTAGGAACTGTTGACAGTGTGTCTTTAGCCCGTGTTGACTTTGTATTAACCAGGTCAAAGAGGTCGGAAGCATTTATGAAATAAGAACTCAGGCACGCGCACATTATAGACACAAGACGAGGCTGAAAAACAAGAGTCGGGTTTGTAGGTTTAGGACGAATTACGAGCCAGCGAGTTGAGGCGACTCGAGGCTTCCTGCGACGTAAAGAGCAATGAAATCTTTACACAGTTTACACGCCTGACTCTTGTTCCAATTATTAACACGCCCTGAATCCCGAGCTCGTACCACATACACATTAAATTCACACATGAAAACAACCGAAAACATACAGGCCACGGGCTTTGCATCATTCAAACAAACCCGGAGCAGGCGAGAGAAGCGATGGAGAAAGAAAAGAGGAGCAGCGGCGTAAATAATTCCCCCTCCTCTGCTCTATCAGAGGCAACACTGCTGGCTGCCAGCCACTCTGACTAGGAGGCCTGTTGCTATATTCATTATGCTAATGCTGAGACAACGCTGAAGCAGCCTGGATGAGATTATGGCTCACACTCTGGCCCACTCCACTGTTTTGAGAATGCTTAAACTTTGACCTATTAAGCAGGGGTGCACCAAAGCCGGTGTTTGGTGATTTCGCACTTCTCCACACTTAGCCGTCCTCCAGGTCTGAAAGGTGGCGTAAGGGCAGGAATCTTCCAACACAGCGGCAGGAAGGGAAGATAAATTATTCAGGAGAGGAGTAACCTGATGGCACTTGGCCTACCTATGCTCTCATCGCATTCTCACAGCTTTCAGGAAAAATCGCATGCAAACGCGCTCGCACACACACACACACACACACACACACACCCAGGTGGTGCCAATACTCGTGTAAGCAAACACTCGTACGGGGGTGAATAACCCCTCGATCCGCCAAGGAAAAAGGTGAAACCAAGAGAGAGAAAAAACAAAACATGCAGCGCGAATGGGAGGCAGAGCTGGATCAGAGATGGGATCGATACCACCGCACCAACATGGCTGTGGCAGATTTACAGATTAGCCCATTCGGAGCGTGGCCCTTTTTTGCTTAGATGAAGCCCACGCCTCAGATCTATCCCAGCAGATACCAAAGGCCTTGATCAATATGCAAACGTCAGCTGTTAGCCGCCGAGCCCGTCTCTCATTTAGTAGGCATTTTTTCACAGGAACGTCCAAGGTTACTGCGGAATTATCAGCAGATTAAGAGTGCGAGAAAGCGCCGTTTGGAATACCATGAATACATGCATGGTGTTAGGTTTTGGACCACGTGTAGGCGGCATGTGGGGGCGTGCAGGCATCAGTGTAACAACTTGATTAAATCATCCATTAATTCAATTTCAGGCTTTTGAATAAGACTGATAAGCCGAATTCGGGGGCCTAGCAGAAAATCCAATGCGGCAAGTCAAGTTTAATGAGCGGAGGCAAAAGGCGAAGGGGAAATATGAGACATCATTATTCAGTCGGGTGCCATTTCTCACATATATATTGGGAAGACATTGTGCGAAGCTTTTCCCCCTAATCTCTGCCGGTCTGATCAACTTTAAATGAATGAACGTCTTTAATATGTGTGTATGCATGCGCTGTGGGAAGATTACACACGAGGTAGAGTCACACAGATTCAATGGAAATATTCATGCTCAGAGTCTGGATTAAGGATTTCGTCCAAAAGCTTTGCATCAACATACACTGTCCTGAGCTAGCAAATAATAGCCAAGTTGTAATCCTGCATATAGGAGGTCTGGTATTCATAGGTTGCTTAGCGCAGTGTCGGCTGAAGATTTGTATAGTGCTGTGTTGGCTAACTGCAGCTCTCCCTCCGTCTCTTTTCCCCTCCTCTCTCCAGGGATGACCTTTTCCGTGTGGAGTTGGACATCGTTGCAGGAGATGAGATGTTTTACAGCAAAGTAAGCACCTTCTGGACAGACACCCGCAGCATTTACAACCTTTAGGCCCACGTATTACTCGCCATTAGGCTGGAAAATGTCCTTTTACAGAGCGCGACCCTGGATTCGGCAAAGTATAGCTAACCGGTGGTGTTTTTTTTTGTGTTGATGTACAGAAAAGGACATGGGAGTCAAACAAGAACGACATCAGGATCTGCAGGATGAAGGGCAAACATGAGGTGAGACAGCTTCTTTCAAACTTATCTCCTCTATCTTTCTCCCTCTTAGATTTCTTTTGCCACATCCAGCAGATACGGAGCAACAATAGTGTTCAATTAACCCCCGGAAACCCACTGCTGGCTTTGAAAGGCTGGTTATCTTTAAAAAAAAATCACCAAAATTACACCATTTATCAGAGTCAGGTGCTGTTGAAACAGAAAGACCTGCCAGATTTTTAAACTTTCGCCTGAACTAATCATGTACGAGGTGCATGAAAATTAATCAGATGTGAGCTCAGAAATGTTTTATTTCAGCAAAATCACTAAAGCAGGATTAGCCAATCCTGGTCCTGGAGAGCCACAGTCCTGCATGTTTTAGATGTTTCCAACACATCTGATTCAAATGATCAGCTCATCATCAAGCTCTGCAGAAGCCTGATAACGATCCTGATCATTTGAATCAGGTGTGTTGGAAGAAGGAAACATCTAAAAAATGCAGGATTGTGGCCCTCCAGGACCAGGATTGGACACCCCTGTTCTAAAGTGTCTCGTTTAAAAAGTCACCAAAATTAAACCATCTGTACGATAAAGGTTCTGCTACAAACAAAAAAGATCCAGCACCCTGCAGCACAACCGGTCGTGACTCAGCTGCAACAAACGGTAATGTGATTTTGCATGAACTGCAGGTTGTGTTTACTGTCAGTATGTGGCGTCACCATGGTGTCCAGTTTCGCTAACATCTGTGAACACTTGGAAAAAATGTTGATTCCAGGTTTTTTGGGGGGGGAATTTTTTTGCTAAATAAATAATCAAAGAAATTCAACTTTTTTAAAACTGAATTTAAACTTTGGTTGCACAGAAGACATCTTTGAGGTCTGTTTACTTGTTTTCTTGCCGGTACAGGACTTTATATTGCGGTAAATAAAATAAGCAAACAGTGAGCAAAAATGTGATTGAAGCAAAGACGCCCAAGGAGCTGCTTGGTAGGTTTAGTTTGTTTAGGTCTGACTTTGTGTCCACCAGTTCTTGGGAATAGTAGCTGCTAATTTCTACCTACTAGCTTGGTTTGTGTAACGTTTGAGTTTTTAGTGAGTTTTTTCCTGCAAACAGCTGGCTGCAGCGAAATCAGTGACCCTGAACTGGAACACTGCAGAAAACCCAAACTATCCACTGAAAGACACAATAAAGCTCAGTCACCGTCACGTGATCAACAGTTTTATTTTTTTGACATAAAAGAAATCATTTGATTCACCGTTCGTGTAAAATAATCTGATTCGAGCAGCTTTAAAGAGCATCATCATAAATAATCACTTTTATTGAAGAGGAGAAAAGCTCCGACTTCGGCTAAGTTTTATCATATAAAAGAGGATTTTATTGCTCTGTGTGAATATTAATGAAAAGTTCAAACGATAAATAATCCAAAACTCCGTCTGAAAAGCGGGCTTTGAAAATGCAGCATGCAAACAGCGAGGCTAAACTATTTATCAATCAATTTGCGGAATATGTTTTACCTTCCAGCCTGGAGCTGTGGTTTCATTGTGCCAGTTATCTGACTGTCAGGGCTGCTGGCACAGCCTCAGGAAAGGAGGGCTGTGACCACATATTATTGTCCCTGTCCAACCCATCACTCACACACACACACACACACACACACACACATCGATCAGCAGAGCACAGCCACTCCTACCAATATAACACTTGTTCCACCATCATGAGTTAGGACTGCGGTCTGTGGCCTCAGAAAATGCAGGTGGGCGTCAGGAAACCAAGGCGGCGAGGAAAGAGATGGGGTGAACTGTCCCAGCAGCCACCAGCCGCCCACGCCTCAATACCTCTTATATCTGCCACACACACACAAACACACACATATTCGGTGTCTGCGTGTGGGTGTGCAGCAGTGATGTTTGACGGAGGGGGAAACATGGGCTCCGTCCCCTCCAGGCACAGGGAAGGGAAAAAAAAAAAAAAAAATGACTTATTTAACACAGCGAGAGAACACCTGACATTAAATCTGTGTGAGACGGTGCCAGACGGAAACACAATGGAGAATAGAGGGACGGAGACAAGAAAGCCAGGCGATAGAGGAGGGAGAGAGGAGGTGGGTGAGGAGGGGTAGGAAGCGAGTGGGTCCCTGTTGGCCGGCCCTGAGGAGAGCTGTGGGGCTGACTGAGATATGAAAGGTCTTCTTGCCCCTAATGACTGTGCTGCCTGGTAATGCTGTGAGTCACACGGCAATGTGAGGAAGATAAGAACACTGCCAGGTCCTCTCAGTCAGCCTCTCTGGGCTCAGACACATTTGAATGGATGTGCTTGTGTGCACACCAGTCACACATGCAGCTCGCTCCCCCCCACCCATGTTTTTTTTCCGCCATTATTCGCTGCGAAAATGTGACCGAAAAATGCGGTTCTCGATCCAAATCACGCTCGCTAAAAGCCACGACAAAGCCACACGCGTCTAACTTCGGCTTTGTGACGACGGCAGAAGTTTAATTAACATCCTTCTAACCCATTCGGAACCAAAAACATTCTAAAGGTATGCTGTGGAATTTATATTTACTATTTCACACCCCAAAAAAATATGATTTCATGCATTTTCTTGTTCATAAAACACTTTTATTCAAGTGTTAGATCCTCATATTCGTATTGTATATTAGAAAAGTTTGCGGCTTCCTTTGTGAATCAGTGGAATGGTGTGAAATTATCCCATCGCTTGTGTGTGTGCTGCTGCATGTGAACCCTCGTGTGCACGCGAGACACACAAAAATCCATTGTAGTGGTAAAGAAAGGGATACATTTAAGCTCTGTAAAGATAATATCACACCAGCGATGTTGCGGTTTTATTGAAACTCCATTGAGAGGGCGTTTATAGAGTAAATAGCAGCATGTGAATCAGCGCTGAGCAAACTTTTCCAAAACTAACTTTATATCAATGATTTAGAAAAACAGGCTATTGTTGAAGGAAGAAGGTCGCCGGTTCGCATCCCGGTGGGGGAATCTTTCTGCGTGGAGTTTGCATGTTCTTCCCGTGCAGCGTGGGTTCTCTCCGGGTTCTCCAGCTTCCTCACACAAGGTCCAAAAACATGCTGAGGTTAATTGATGATTGTAAATTGTCCGTAGGTGTGAATGTGAGTGTGCTTGGTTGTCTGTCTCTAAGTGTAGCCCTGTGATAGACTGGTGACCTGTCCAGGGTGTCCCCTGCCTTCACCCTGAGTCAGCTGGGATGGACTCCAGCCCTCCATGACCCTAGTGAGGATTAAGTGGTGAATAGATGATGGATGGAAGGTTATTGTTGATTGACTCTTTGCTTCCAGATTCACACCTCTTAATCCAGATTAATTTGCTCTTAAAGTATTTGCATATCAAATCAGCAACTTGACCTTTCCAGTTGGGTTTCCGTGCAGCATACTGTCGACATGAGACATTATTTTAAATTTATCTCGCATTTAATCATAGTTACAACCTGCATGCGGCTCTGCATCGCCACACCCGTTCCTCTTTGTTGAAATACTCGCTGCATTGAAGGGTTAATATGTAGATAAGTTCATATGTATGCAGTGCAGTCGTTGCACACGTCGCAGTATTTGCCAGGTTTGCACTTCTGCAAGCAGCCTATTGTTTATGCATGTAAGATTTCCCTTAGCATGTTTCTAAAGCATGCATTATCTCATATCATGATGATCCTGATGTTGTCGTCATATTTCAGACAGTTTCCTCTAAACTGTAAAGATATCTCTACCGCCAGCATTCCATGTAAACAGAATTTCATTATAAGATTATTTATCCCCCCTTGATATAAAGGCTAATATAAAAATCTGCAAGTGCTAGAAGATCTGGATAGCCTTGACTGTTCTGGGGGAAAGAAAACAAACAGCATGTATGGGTAGTCTTTATAAATACCAAGAGTTTAAGGCAGTGAAATTACCCTCAGAGGGTTAAAGGAAAACCGTTGGAAAACATCTGCGATGCGAACGAACCGGTGGAATGATTCAGTGTTGCTGGATTAAAACATTAGGAGCTACAAATCCCACGTGAACCTGCGTGTCAGAACACAGGTGGGCTCTATTTGACGTTATTATAACTCGCGAAACTCGGCTTTATCGCGAACACTTGAACGAGACCCACAGTAAACGCTTCTTGATTATCCGGCCTCGTCGCGACGCGCAGTTGCATCATAAATTTGCTGATTTTCCGATTGTGGTGTCACTCCTTTGTAACGCAGCCTTAAAGATCATTTAAAATGATGTCATGATAAGCCAACGATGTGAATTTAATATCACAACATCAGTGTTATCTTGATATATTGCCTAACTAGAGTGTTTACTGAAGGGCTTTTTGCACCGCATTGCATCAGACTGCTGCAGGTGTTGTGTTTTTTTTTTTTTTAAACCCCCTGTTGCTGTTTTGATCATCACGTCTGAGGTCAACCGAGAGGACTGAATATTTAACAAAAGAACATTTTCTGCATTAATGCAAACACATGGACGCGATGGAACACGGCGGTTTTTACATGTATGTAGGTGGGATCGCCAGCCCTCACATGCATTAAACACACTGTACCGTCATACATATTCATGGTTTCGAGTGCCTTTTTTTTTTAATCTAATCTTCTCTCTTTCTGTTTCTCTCCTACACACACATACGAACACAATTAAAAATAAAACCTCCATCATCACACCAGTCGTCTTTACCCCCCCTCCTCCATCTTCCTCTCCTCCACTTCACCTCCTGAAAATGTCCTGTTCTGCTTGGGGGGATGGTTGTGTCAGATGTGATACATTCGCCACCTCATAATTGGTTTTGTAATTAAATGTTTCTGCTTGGTTGATCACAAAGGACATAGTATTCTCCCTAATTAGGCCTAACATTCAATATCCTAATTCTTTTGCCTTTTTTTTTTTTTCCTTCTCCCATGTTGACCAAATGATTGTTGATGAATGCAGGTCTTGTTGTCACTCTGCATATTTTCTCTCCGCCTCCTTATCTTTATCCTGTATTTGCCCTTTCGATTGTCTCTCGCCGTC